ATTCAACCATTCCCCTCTAGACCAATATTCAGGACTTTCAACACTGGCTATTACAAAGACTACCACAATGAAATATCATTCTAGATACATTTTATGTAGTCACATTGTTACTTTTTTTTTTTATTTTTTATTTTTTCCAATTTCATGTACCTTCCTTCCACCTCTACACAATAGCTCAGAAACTAAAATGCCTTTGACACACTTCCATAAGCAAATTTCAGGTCTCTTTTTCAAGGCCAAGTGCCACAATTCACTTATATCACATTGTTACTTTTAGATAAAAGATTCCTAGAAGTAGATTATTGGGTCAAAGAATATTTTAAATTTGAAATGTTTACCTGAGACCATCAAATTATTTTCCCAAAAAGCTATATTATTTATATTCTCCATTTACATTATTCTTTACTAAATACTTGCCAAAATTCAAATTTATTACATATTGTACATTTAAAGTGTGTATATATAGTATGTAAATTAACTGCAATAGTTGCTTAAAATAAATAACTGTGTAGTGAAGCCTTGAAGTTCTTTACCAAGAAAAGAATGTGGAAGAATCAGAGTCTATTTCATGCAGAAAATTATGGTACAGCTCTATAAACAAATAGGGGGATTAAGCAATGTTGTCACAATACATGCTCTCAGTATGTACAATTTGGGGATTTCTCCTCTGTGGCTCCCTCCTATCCTGGGTTTCATCTCTAAAGTGTAGTGTCAAGATCTTTGTGATATCTTCAAACTTCTTGCGGTACCATCAAACTACCACATCAATTATAGTATTGTAATCATCAATTATTAATTGGTATTAGGGTATTGTGACTTTAAACATGTTTGAACTTATATAATAATGTGTAAATGAACTCAGACGTATACAAGGAAAATGCTGGTGTGTATTTGAGACTTTAGCTGGATGGGCAAAGTCTAGTGGACTATGTTTCCCAATTACCAGCACATCCACAGAAAATAAAGAGGTCAAATTTTCAGTGAAAATAGCAGCATGGGCCTCCCCGGTGGCGCAGCGGTTGAGCGCTGGGTTGTGAAGCTGCCCGCGGCCTCTGCGGCGCCGGTTCGATCCCCGGCTGCTCCCCGGCCACCGGCGGAGGATCCCACATGGTGCGCAGACCTCTCCTGCCACCCGCTGCTCCCCTCAGCAGTGTACTTCGGTCCTTCTGCCTGCTCTGCTCCCCGCTCTGGCTCTGGTGAATTCTCTCACCCTCCCGTGCTTCTGACTGTACCCAGTGCTTGTATAAACAAAACAAACAAACAAACAAAAATAAATAAATAAAACATGCCTCTATAAAATAAAATAAAAAAAAAAAAAAAGAAAATAGCAGCAATTTCTGGAGCAATCGGGTTTTTCTTTTCTTTTTTTTTTTTTTTTTAAACAGAGGCATGTTTTATTTATTTATTTGTTTGTTTGTTGGTTGGTTTTGTTTATACATGCACTGGGTACAGTCAGAAGCGCGGGAGGGTGAGAGAATTCACCAGAGCCAGAGCGGGGAGCAGAGCAGGCAGAAGGACCGAAGTACACTGCTGAGGGGAGCAGCGGGCGGCAGGAGAGGTCTGCGCGCCATGTGGGACCCTCCTTAGGTGGCCGGGGAGCAGCGGGGGATTGAACCGGCACTGCAGAGGCTGCGGGCAGCTTCGCAACCCAGCACTCAACCACTGCACCACCGGGGAGGCCCAGCAATTGGGTTTTTCAAAAACAAAATGAGAATTAGTGCAGAAAAGACAATAATAGCTATTTAAACCAGGAAAAATAAATGCTCTAACACTTTTTTAATTCAGAATTTTAGTTAAAGATTTTAAGTCAAAAAATGTATATCTGTCTTTAAAATTTTTCCTGAACTTACTCAGATTATCCTATCTACAGCACGGGCAATAAAGAACATTTATGTCTTGGTAAAGAAATATTTTGTGGTGTTGTTTGTTTTTATTATCTGTGAAACATGCATTAAACTCCATATAATCATTTCTCTACTTATCTGACAGATTTTAGATGCAGTTATCTACGTAAATTATTTTATTACCTTATTAAAAAAGGGATGTCACTTTGATAACCACTAAAAAATGAAAAGAGACAATCTGTAAAAGAAATGCCATGTATTTGAGGTAAACATAATAAATCATGAAGAGACTTGTTTTGAGAAAATAAAATGATAAGGTTTCACATGTATGATATTAATATATCAACAGAGAAGAGGAATATTTTGTGAGGATGGCATATAACCCTCACTTGGTTCCAGTGTTAGGAACAGAATGAATATAAATGTTCTTCATTCCAGCTACATATTACTATGGTACTTTGTCATGTTATAAATTATAATTAATTTTCTTGCTTATATTTACTTTTAATAGACTATATCCTAAGAGATTTATGTTTTAAAATAAGTAGAAGGATTCCCAACATGTTAGAATATTTATTATCACACAGGAAAAAGGTCAAAGCAGCAGCAAAAAAGTAATGTCGACTGACTCAGGTATTTTAGGCATTTTCATGTAACTTAATCTTCACAACTCTCAAGTGAATTCTTCCACATTTTCATAGTTGAAGAAACAAGGACTAGATGGTAGTATCATTGCAAAAGGGAGTCAGAGTAGGGAATTAAACTTCCAATTCCAAATCTTATGAGCTTCCCTCCATTTCAAAATGTTTCTTCTTGATGACTAAGGCATAAATATTGCAAAAGTGGAAAATATTGCTATCATCATGTACATTTTTTCAGCATTTTAGAGTTTTCCTAGAATAGCAACAAAAATGTCAATATTTTGTTTCTACCTTCAGACCCGGCGCCTAATGCAATGTTCCTCTTTCACCAGGTACTCATAACTAACTTTTGAATAATGTGCTTTTTGGTATGAAAACTAATCAAGTATGTCAACTACACACAAAAAAATGAGAACTTCCTCTACACAGTCAGATAAGGGGAAAAAATATCTCATTTCTCAAGGATATCTTACTAATGTCTAACCTGGAAAATAAACACCAAAACTAAAGGTAACAAAACAATTTTTCCTCCCCTTCATTGTTTTTAAATTTTACTCCAGAAGTCAGGGATCTATGCCCAGAAGGGACGCCTAGCGTAAAAAGGAATATCCTAGAGAGGGATTGGGACCAACATGTGGAAAGTGAGGCCATGCAAGCAAAGGGGAGTACAATCCCAGCATGGTCCATAGGGTGGGATGACTATAAAACGATAAAAGAGAATTTTTCTGGGGTGACAGAATTCTCTCACTTGATTGTGCTGCTGGTTACTAGATGTATGATCTGTCAAAATCAAAATGGGTGAATTTTTTCTCTAAGTAGTAATACCTCAATAAACCAGATATTAAAAATCCTCTCAAAAATATTAAAAATAGATCTACCATATGATCCAGCATTCACTCCTAGGTATATACCCAAAGAATGCAAACACACTAATTTGAAAGATATTGTGCACTCCTATGTTCACTGCAGCACTATTTACAATAGTCAAGTTATAGAAACAACCTAAGTGGCCAGTGGCAGAAGAGTGGATTAAAATACATATATTTCATACACACACACACACACACACACACACACACACCCAATGGAATGCTATTCAAAAGAAGAAAGACAAGTATCAGATGGTTTCACTTATATGTGTTATGGAGAGAAACAAAACAAAGAAATAGACAAAACCAAACCAATTATAAACCCTAAAAATCTGCCTGTGGAATTGAAGCTATAAGAATGGGGAGGGGAGCAGGGAACTCGAAGTGTGGGTGGGGCTCATGGACTGTGGGTGGCTGGGTGGTGGTTATGGTGTGGTGACTCACATGGGAGGTGTGATCCTATGAAGCACATACAGTATTGTCAACCAATGTTACCTTGGTGGGAAAATAAAAACCAAAAACAAACCTATCAATTAATTTACTATGATTTTATATATATAAATGAGCTAGGTCAGTGTTTCCCAAAGTATAGAACAACCATTATCAAAAGTGTGACAGCAAAATTATATACTAAAATAAGCTAAATGCTGTTTATCTAATATTATATATTAAGCACTGGCATCTTCAAATATACTACTTGTAAAGAAAATAGCAATATATGAATATTTAATTTTTGCACTCAAAGACAAAGGATTTATATATAAGCATATAAATCATAAAAAATTCAGAAGAAAAATAGATATTTTTGTTTATAATAACACAAAGGAAGGCTTTCTAAGAACCAAATTCTAGAAATCATAAAGGGAAAAATATCCTAAAAATGGTTATTTTAAAGTTAACAACACAAACACACAAAAGACAACATAGGAATTAATCTTCACATAGAAATAACAAAAGATGAATTTTATCAAATTTACCAAGAGCTGTCAGAATAATTTAGATCAGGAAACCATCAAATATAGGGACAAAGTACAGATTCCCAGAAAACAAAAGAGAAATGACTTATAATTTCTTCCTGGTAACCTTTCCCATTCTCCAAGTCCATCCATCCTTTAACCCATCTAATTATCAAAAAAGAATACCCCATACCCACTTCCCCATCCCTGTGGGTCCCAAGTAAGTCTGTGATTTAGAGTTTTGTTTTCAAATTCATAGTAAGGCATTACAATCAATTTCCAAACAGGCAGTTTTAGTAATTAATTTTTGGTCTAAGGGTCTGTATTCACTCTTCCTGATCCATTCCTTCATTCTGGTCTTTTTTTAAATTTCCTCCCCTCTTTAATTTGACCATGCAATCAATTACAACGGCAAATTTGGGGGAGGATCATTCCTCCAAAGAGCCATGGTCATATAAGCTGGGCTCTGTTATGAACTTATGTTTTATTGATATTCTCAAAATGAAAAAAATCACTATGCCTAAGAAACATGCTTCTCTCTGAAGCACCCAGTTATTTCAGCAAAACTTTACCTTAGTTCAATATCAGACAATTCAGAAAAACAATATGCTGCTTGGAGAATCTTTCATTTTATTGTATCTCTCACACAATCCCTTCCCCCAAATCAATGCATTACTTGGTTTTGCTCACCTCCTCTCCCGAAAGGTAATATGCCGCAAGCAGACCTCCAATAAATCGAATGTTGACTTCAAACACTGAAACCTCTGAATTCTGTAAAAACGTTGAAAATATTCATATAAAGTCTCGTAATTTTCAAAATATTCTCAGGATGTCTTATGTTTCTCACAAACTCCTTATGGAGAATGTTCTTCCCAAATTCCACAACTTTATTTTTCACAGAACTACAATCCCACCTTTCACTGTTAATATTACTGAAAAGCCGCTGTTTTCCCTACAGCTTCCTAAGCGCCAAGTGCAATTGGCCATTTTCTTTTTTTTTCTTTTTTTAAAGATTTATTTATTTATTTATTTATTTAGACAAGCACTGGGTACAGTCAGAAGCGCGGGAGGGTGAGAGAATTCACCAGAGCCAGAGTGGGGAGCAGAGCAGGTAGAAGGACTGAAGTACACTGCTGAGGGGAGCAGCGGGCGGCAGGAGAGGTCTGCGCGCCATGTGGGACCTTCCTCCGGTGGCCAGGGAGCAGCCGGAGATCGAACCAGCGCTGCAGAGGCTGCGGGCAGCTTCGCAATCCAGCGCTCAACCGCTGCGCCACCGGGGAGGCCCCAATTGGCCATTTTCATGTACCTTCCATGGCATAGTGAAATTATCATTGTATTTGATGCTCTTAATGTATTCTCTCTCCTTTACGAAAGCCTTCACTTCTTTAATTCTGGAAGAGCACTCTCTACCAGACCCTTTCCTTCTGTTCTAATTACTTCAGCATAGCATCCATTCTTTATTTCTATCTCTCCTCATGAATTTTAAATATTTTCCCTAGTTTATATAATAATGTAATAAATGTTAAGAGAAGCACTAAGAATAATGATGGAATTTAAAAGTAGAGAAAGTAGAGAAAACTGGCTCCTAAATAAGAAATTAATTTGGGTACTCATTTCACATATATACCAAACTCAAATGCAAATAATTTAGACAAAATATAGAAAAAATTATAATAAAAAATGAAAAAAATGGGATAATATATAAACTTCCTCAAGAAAGCAGGTGCTCTGTAAGTATAACAAGTAATATTATCATAACAAATGAAAGGCTTTTATTATCCCAAAATGCAAATTACCTATAGGAAAAAAGTCCTAAAATTAAAGGTAAACAACAAACAGAAGGAAATGTGGCACAAATAGAGCAGTATTAATGACCTTACTATCTAGGGTCTGTAAGTTGTATTTGGATATAAATAAAGATATTTCTAAGAAAAATTCTAATACAGAAAAAGAAAAGGAGAAGTGACAGGGAATATGGTCAAAGAATCCACAGAAATATGCACAATTGATATAAAGATAGCATTCATGATTAACTTTTAATAAACTTTTAAGTAAGTGTATATTACTCTCAAGTCTTTCTAACAATTACTAGCAGATACACCATTTGCTAACACAAGTATATTTCTCTGGTATAGAAATTAACAATTTCATTTTTTTTTTTTTTTTTTGGGTGGGACCCTCGCCAGCGGGTGGCTGGGGATTGAACCGGCGCTGCAGAGGCTGTGGGCAGCCTCGCAACTCAGTGCTCAACCGCTGCACCACCTGGGGGAGGCCCAACAATTTAATTCTTTTTAACTCAACTGTCACCCCACTCCGTCCTTGAAGGTAAAGTACTTTATATTCCTTCACATAGCCCCGATATACAGGCGTCACAGGGCACAGAATAGAAGCGCCTAAATATAGAGAGAAAAGAGGAAGGAAGAATAATAACTTTCCAGCCAGTTTCCTTGCTTTCCCCTTTCCCCTCCTCCCTGTACTCTTCAGCAGGAGAGAGCTACAGTGAATCCTTTAAATCTTAACTCAGTTTAGACAACTGCTCTACACAGACCCTTATAAGGACTTCCAGTTACACTTAGAGGGAAACGGCTGATAAGACCATACATAACCAGATTCCCTACAGCCTCTCCGATGTCATCTCCTACCAATACCCCTTTGCCTCTCTCTATTACTACTTTACTATGACTCTTACTGTTCCCGAATGGTCAAACTAACTCCTGTGTCAGTATTTACACTTTATCTGCAGATATGTGCACAAATGCCACCTGTCAAGTTTGAGCACATAATGCAAAATACTGTCGTGAAATAATCCCTTATCACTAACATCCCCAATTAACATTTATCACCATGCAATTCCTATTGATTCTTTATTTATAACATTATACCCCTCCTCACAAGAGCGACAGCATTTCAGAGGGAGAAAAGCTAGAGAGTGGGGGAAAGGCATTATTCAAGGAGAAATGACTAAGAATCTTCCAAATTAATGAAAAATAACTCCTCAGATTGATCAAACATTGAATCCTTTAAACAATAACCCACAAGTAGACACATGACAGTGGAATTACAACAAAGCAAAAAAAAAAAAAAAGAAAAGAAACAAAGGGAGCAAAGACAGATTACCTTTTAAAAATTGTGCTACTGCATACTCTTCGATAGTCTAAGAGAAGCCGGAAGACAATATAACTGTACCTTTAAAAGGTTACGAGAAAATAATCATCAACCTCTAGTCCTGCACTCAGTTTATAACATCTACTGGGAAAAAGCCTTATATCCACATGGCTTCCCTTGGGTCTCTTGTCAGAAATGTCACCACAACAAAAAGTCCTTCAATAGCCAACCTATGTGAAATAATAAGTCCCACAAATACTGATTTAAACCCTATTTACTCTTTTTTTCATTGTCCCTTTTTAACTGTCTAACCAGCCCTGGTTCTTAATCCTGGCAGTGGTAGTTGGTTTCAGCTTACAGCACCCCTGACACACATCCATATTCCTCTAATCCTCCTCACTGTGCTTATCAGAAATGCCAAGCACTAACTAGGTGCCCCTCCTAAAAGGCCAGAGTTCTAGCTCTGAACAGGGCCTTCTAAGAGCTACTAAGGTACCAGAAAGAGACCCCAGCAACTACATATTAATCACCAAAACCTCTTTCCATTGTTCTCACAGTTGCAGGGTGCTGCCTGTCTCCTGCAGTGCAGAATATCATGATACCACTATATTCTCTTTTTAGCCATCACTTGGTTAACAATTCTACACACTTATTCTCTAATTAAAATAAATGCTATATTCTGGTTCTTAACTGAGCCAAGTGTTACAAGCAGCCATGCTTTAATAAAGCAGCCATGTTAGTGAACAGGAAAACCCACACAACTGCCAATTCTCTCCAAATTAATCTATGAATTGAATGCAATCCTCGCAGAATTTCAACACAGGTTTCCAGAGTTTAAAAGAGCAATGAACTGAGAATTGCTACGATAATTCCCTAATAGAACAGGAGGAAACATCAAGATATGTATGTGTGTATACATTTGTATGTATGTGTATATACATATCAGATATAGATATCAATATTAAAATACTATAGCTAACACAGTTTAGTACTGATACAGGGGTAAAGAAAAACGCCAATAGGATAGACTAATATGACTAATATTTAACTAATATGTATTAATGTTTTAATATGTACTAATACAATGAGGATATAAATAGTGCTGGGATCAAATGATAATTTTTTTATCTCACCCTATATACATAATGTTTCATATGGATTAAAAACTTAAATGCAAAAGCAAAATTTTAAATGTTTATAATTAAATATACAAATATATCTTCATGACTTGGCAGCAGGGATTTCCTAGATAAAGATATAAAAAGACTATAATGGTTACATAGTTATATATCAATAGCAACAAAGGCTACATTTCTTAGCCTCCAGTAATAATAAGGTGGAATATCAAGAGTAAAATCTACTGTATAGCATGCATGTAAAAATGGGGTAACCAACTGCCAAAAGGTATTCTTAAAGAACAGTTTCCTATCTTTCCCCTAATCCTTCCAACTTTCTGCATATGGAAGGTTTATCCACCTTATCTTGAGGAACCATCTTGTACCATGAGGTTGAAGGTCTACAACTCTGAAGGTGACAGAGCAACAAATAAGACAAAGGATCCTTGTTGATCAAGAAGCTACTCAAACACATCCTAAACTACTTATCTCTGTGCTTGATTTCCATGAAAGAGAAATAAAAAGATATCTATTTTGTTTGTCATTTTACATTAGGTTGTCTGCCAATCCCAGGCAAGCCAAAATCTAAGTGATAATAAAAAGTGTTCTAATTGAGACATGACCAAAATGCTAGATTAACATAAACGAAAGTAATCAGTTTTTGCCTAATTAACAATGCATTTTAATGATGCAGAGTCAGACAGAGGAAAAAACACAGAAGAGTGACTTCCAATTACAGTTGGAAGAAGAGCAAGCACACATATCATGAAAGATAACAACGAATATGACAAAACAGTTCATACATCTCTCAGGGAAGGACTGGTAATAAAGAAAAATAATTGCCACCATTTAACTGAAAAGAATATTACCAGATTACCTCAAATAATCCTTACAATATTACAATGGGATAGCAATTTTATAAAAGGATGAGAAAAAATAAGAAAGTTTCCCAAGTTGCAGAGCTAGAATGTAAATGTGATGGGCTTCAAAATCTATGCAGTACCACTTAAACTATGCCAGGATGCTGGCAGGATGGGTACAGGCCTAGTTATGAAGTCTTATCAAAAGTGTAAAAAATTATCAAATCTTTTGAAACACACAGGTATCATATGTAAAGTAGTTCATGGTTTCCTGCATTTAGTCAATGTGCTTTTTTCCCTAACTCCTGCCTTAACACACTGCTTCAAAGAAGAAGAAGAACATTAAAAGGAAGATGGGAAAGAGTGTGCATTTTATGCAAAAATTAAATAAGGGGTCTCTCTGGTGGCGCAAGGAGTTAAGACGCAGCCTATGAAGCTATGCACAGCCACTGCAGCACAAGTTCGATTCCAAGCCAGCCAGGGAGGTGACCCACATGATGCAATAGACCTCTCCTGACTTGTGCCTTCAGCAGTGTTATTTCAGTGAGTCTGCCTGTTACTGTTCCCTACTCTGTCTCTGGTGAATCCTCTCAACCTCCCGCACATCTGGCCTGTACACCCTGGGGTTCTTGTATAAATAAATAAATCTTTAAAAAAATAAATAAAATAAAATTTCTTTAAGTTGCTAGTGTAATAGTCCAAACCATTATGGTTAAAAACTGTTATTTTTTCCATAGCTGATCACAGAAATTATCACTTATACTCACCACACTGAAATCAAGGTTTTCTTCAATCCATTTTTGCCCATCTCGGAATTCATCATGAAGTCCCATGATATAAAGGGTATCCAAAGCATCTACTATTGTAGCACCCATTTGTGAACTTCCTATATTTTGGATGGAAAAAAAAACCTGTAACTAAAAAAATGCTCTTTATATAAGGTCTATTTCAATTTTTTAATATATAAAAAGTAAATCAAAGCAGGGATATAAGGATCAAAAAGAATATCCAATTTTTCCATAGAATAAATTTTACACTTTATTCTATTTTTCTAGTTTAATACATTTTCCTGCAAATGACACATTGATAACATATAGGGAGATAAAGAAAAACTACAATTACAATTCTCTTTAATTTTCTTCCTGGTCACATTATAAGATATCTATCTACTGAAACAAGTTTAAGAAAGTGAAGATTAATTCAAGAAGTAGGAGTGCTTTAAGATGATAAGCTAAGTCATAGGAGAGCAAGCATGGATAATCATCATAAAACAAAAACTATAATAATCCTTAACAATCGCAAAGCAGGTAATTTATACTGAAGAAAGAAGTCATAAAACAAAATGTCAGTAGGCAAAGTCAAAATAATAAGATGTACCCATCTTAAAAAAAGATCTATGTATTGCATAGAAGAACTGGGGTGTAGGCCAGAGGTACAGGAGTGAGAGGATTCACCAGAGACAGAGTGGGAAGCAGAACAGGATTTACTGAAATAACACTGCTAAGGGGAACAGCAAGTGAGACAGAAGTCTGCTGCATCATATGCGGGTTGTTAGCTCCCATGCCAGGGATTGAAGTTAGGCCATAGTGGTCATAGCACTGAGACTTACCCTAGGCCACAGGGAGGTCTCAAGACAGAGATAATCTTAAAGGAAATGTTTCAGGAAGGAAGCAACTAATTCAACAAAGCTAACTGATAACTAAATTAGATAGATACTATAAAGATATGGCAAGAAAACAAGTCAATCTTACTAATGAATATAACTACAAAAACCCCAAGTAAATAACAGCAAAACAAATTTAGTAGCACAGTAAAAAATAACAGGAAGCAGAAAGGTCCTTCCAAATGCAATAGAATTATCATTTCTATCTATAACTACATCTTGATATACTTCTATCTCAAGAGCCAATTCATGACTTCATAATGAATTCCACACAACTTACTATCTACAATGACATGAATTTACTGTTATCCTATTATAATAATGTCTCCATCAATATGAGTTTACCAGGAAGCTCTTCTCTGGAAAGATAAAAGCTGCAAAATAATTTTAATATATTTATTGTTCATTCCAACAACTTCCTCAAAGACCCATCAACTCTTCAACAGAAAGTACCAAATGGTGGTTTGAAGCCCTGACCTCAAATTCTCCACTTACCAACCTTACCTTATTATATCATAATGTTATATAATCCTAACCAAGCACTCCAACTGAAAGGCCCACCCTAAAACAGACTTAAAATATCGATAAATATCTTAACTTTGTCCTTTCTCCCTCTGACAGGCTACCAAGGTAAGCATTAAACTCAGCTTTCTCTTATCAGCAATTTATCTAGTGATAAATAGATGATATTAAAGAGTCAGCATTCAACACTTAGTTCAAGTTTTCAACTTACCTTTGTATTCCTTCCTTTTGTTTTCATTCCCTTTTCTATTAGGTAGTGCTTTCTTCTGACAGTTTAAAATTATACAGATTGGTTCTTAAAATGGTTATTCTTAACTTAGATCACATTTATGTGCTCCTTACAATTTTTCAACTTATCTGTAGGTATAACTGTTAGAGGAAGAATAAGGAGCAAGCCCTGAACCAGTGAATGACTTCATGAATGCACTCTACCCTCTGATGTCTTTTTTGTTTAAAAGATTTTATTTAGGGCCTCCCCTGGTGGCGCAGCAGTTGAGCACTGGGCTGCGAAGCTGCCCGCAGCCTCTGCAGCGCTGGTTCAATCCCCGGCCACCAGCGAGGGTCCCACATGGCATGACAGCCCTCTCCTGCCACACCCGCTGCTCCTCTCAGCAGTGTATTTCATCAGTCTGCCTGTTCTGTTCCCCACTCTGTCTCTGGTGAATTCTCTCACACTCCCGCACCTCTGACTGTACCCAGTGCTTGTATACATAAATCTTTAAAAAAAAAAAAGAAAGAAAGAAAGAAAGAAATGGATCTTAAAATGCTCTTTCATTCATTCCTTAAAAAATTTTGAGAAAAAAAAAAAAGATTTTATTTATTTATGCATACAAGAGTTGGGGTACAGGCCAGAGGTGTGGGAGGTGAGAGGATTCACCAGAGACAGAGTGGGGAACAGAACAGGCAGATTAACTAAAGTACACTGCTAAGGGGAGCAACGGGGGAGTCAAGAGAGGTCTGCTGCGCCATGTGGGTTGCTCCCTGGCTGGAAGGGGATCAAACTTGTGCTGCAGTGGCTGCAGACAGCTTCACAGGTTGCATCTTAACTCCTTGTGCCACCAGGGAGGCCCCCCACTCTGATGTCTTTATGGACTCAATTTCCAACTCCATGCTTATGAGATCTCAAGAACCAAGGACTACAAGTGCCAGCATGCCATGAACCTGACTTCTGGGACAGAGTTAAGCAGGCATGTCTGGCTTATAACTGAACACACGCATCTTCACTCTTGCTTCTCTAGCTTCCACTTGCACCCCAGTGTCTCATCTCAGATGGTATTACTTGTAGGAAGATGCAGTATAATTAACCTTTGTAGTTAAGCAGTCAAAATCACCAAGACAAATAATGGACATTTACACAGAAGACAATTCAACAAAGCAATATACAAAAAGCAGCATCACTAACAGACAAAACGAAGCACCTGAGAGGGAAGTGAGAAAAGGGAAAAGTGGTATAAGGGATTGTGGGGGGCACAGGGGGAAGAAGAAAAACAAGATTTTTGTACCAAATTTTATATAGATTGGGCATTTGCATTATTTGTTCAATAAATAAATACATTTATTTGTTTACTGAAAAAAAAAAAAAAAAGATACCCATCATATCAAGAAGCATTTATAAGAGGTGAACAGTGAGGACTATAATGATAATTCTGAAGAACTGTATTTGAACTAAGCAAAAGTTGTAAGTTAACTTATTCTTTTAAATTGAGAATTTAAAAAGGATTGAATTAAAAAGAAGTAGAAAGTTAATGTGAAATCAAGTTGAACACAATTGTTTCTTAAACTACATAACTCTGTGGTTGTAACAAAAGCAGCCTTTAAAAAATACATAAACAAATGGGCATGGCTGTGGTCCAATTAAACTTTATTTATTTTATTATTATTATTTTTTAAGTAGCAACAGGCAAATTTGGCGCTCAGATTGTATCTTGACAACCCCTGGGCCTACACAAAAGGACAGCCACACACATTAACTTTGCCCTTAGATATATGAATGTACAATAAAACCCACTGAAATTACCCATCAAATCACCCTGATCATGTCATTTATAAACACACACACACACACACATACACACACACACGTGTACTTGGCCCTATTAGAATTCCCTATTCTTCCCGTCCTTCTCTATAACGCATGAATATCAGAACTGGTAGTGTGTTGAAGGGAAAAAATTGCAAATAGTTATCTACTTTCTGAATACTTAAAAAAGAATGGAAGGAAGAAAAATGCAGAAAAAGCTTCAAAATATTCAGATAAATTACAAAAACATGTACATGTAAGCAGGAAAACTACCATGTATTTGTGTGGTACAAAGCAACTATAAATCTTGAATGAAATTTGCAAAAAAAAGAGGGTACATAATACTCAGACCTTAGGAAGTATTTAAAAAATTGTTATCCTGCTTTATAAATGGAAGTAGAAAATGGAAATATTAATTAGAAAAAGGAAACTTACCAAAGATATTAGTGGAGTGTCCTTTCCTTGCAATAGGCCTGAGCTCATTATGGCCCCATCCATACATCCTGTAATTATCCCACGCATGTTTCATCATCTAAGAAAAATTAAAATCCATCAACTTACATTGCTGACATATCGTTATATTTGATGTAATTTAGAAATTCATTACTATACTGTTACCTGCATCTCCTACAATAGTGTATTATTGTCTTAACATTGTAAACCGTGTTAGTAACAAGTATAACATATATAGCCATGTTTAACCCTGGTGTACACAACAGAAAAAAATTGTGTGTAATAGACAAGTTCTTTTTATTGAGGCTAATGGTGTCTGTCCTTTATTTTAGAAACAGCCAGTCCTTTTGGGAATAGCTCCCCTTCCCTCTTTGTGGTTATGACAGAACTGTCATTCGAGGGGCTCTGATGCTACAGCCAATTAGCACAAGCTGACAGAGAACCCCTTATCCTTACTCCATAGATCAAGTAAACTCTGTAAAGTATTTTAGACTTTGCAGTACATATGGTCTCTATAGCAACTACATAACTGTGGTTGTAATACAAAAGCAGCCTTCAAAAAATACATAAACAAATGGGCATGGCTGTGGTCCAATTAAACTTTATTTATTTTATTATTATTATTTTTTAAGTAGCAACAGGCAAATTTGGCGCTCAGATTGTATCTTGACAACCCCTGGCCTAGACAAAATAATTGGGAACCTGTGATTCAAGTAGGAATAATTAAGTCCATTTATGCATACTATTGTAAACACTATGTTACAGAAGCACTCTCATTTTACAATATCAAGGTCAAAGTAATATGTAATCCTGAAAACAATGGGGGCTGAATCCCAACATGGAAAAAACAAATTAACAAAAGGAAAGAGAGAGAAGGAGAAGATGCATATTATTGACAATATTTACAGAACACAAATTCCGTCAAGCATGAAGCCCTAGTTTAAATCCACTACACCAACTAATATTTTTTTATATCAATTAGTTTGAACTGAGTTTCTTACAAACAAAGGAATTCTAAATTACACAACAGCAGAGTATTTAATTACATATCAGCTGACTTAGTTAATAGTATACTATGGCATATCAAAAAACTTTTCATTTAATAGTATACTATTCATTAAAACATTTCTCAATGTGTTTTTTGTTTGTTTGTTTTACAACCAGCAATACTCAGACACCAAAACCAGAGAAAGATATTACAAGGAAACAAAAAAACCAATAAATCTAAAAAACACAGATGCAAAATTACTTTAAAAATGTAGCAATACAGAGGCCTCCCTGGTGGCCGTAGGGGCTAAGACACAACCTATGAAGCAATCTGCAGCCACTAAAGCACAAGTTCGATCCCCAGCCAGGGAGTAACCCACATGGCACAGCAGACCTCTCCTGTCTCTCCCACTGCTCCCCTCAGCAGTGTATATCAGTCAGTCTGCCTGTTCTGCTCTCCACTCTGTCTCTGGTGAATCCCTTCACCACCATCCCCCACACCTCTGGTCTGTACCCCAGTTCTTGTATGCATAAATAAATAAATCTTTAAAAAAAATGTAGCACTATATCAAAAGGTTACTATACAATGACCAAATACAGTTGAACCCTGGAATATAAAACTAATTTAACATTCAAAAGCCAATTAATAGAATCTACCACATTAACAGAGTTAAGGAGGGGTGGGAACCATACAATCATTTTTATATCAATAGTTGCAGACAAAGCATTTGACAAAATTCACCACCTAGTCATGATAAAAACCCAGGAAACTACAACTAACTACAAGGGAACATCCTCAAACTAGGAAAAAAGAAAAATCTTTAAACACAACTAGCATTACACTTAATAAAAAACTAAATGTTTAATACCTCAAGTTGGGAGCAAATCAGGTATGTCCATTCTCATCATTTCTTTTCAACTATGTATTGGAAGTCCCAGACAGTTCAATAAGACAAGAAAAATATAAATAAAGGTCATAAAAATGTAAAAAGAGGGCCTCCCCTGGTGGCGCAGCAGTTGAGCACTGGGCTGCGAGGCTGCCTGCAGCCTCTGCAGCGCCGGTTCGTTCCCAGGCCGCCAGCGAGGGTCCCACAAAAAAAAAAAAAAAAGGTAAAAAGAAAAGTACTTCTACTCACAAAGGACTTGGTTATTATGTACAAAGAAAATTCCATACAATCTAAAAAAGAAAAAAACCACTAGAACTAATAAACAACTGTAATAAAGTAATGGAATACAAGTTCAGCAAACTAAACCAAACACATTTCCATATGCTAGTATTAAACAACAGAAAATTAAAAAACAATTCTATCCAGTATTTATCTTTCTTCTTCTGACTTATTTCACTTAGCATTATCCTTTCAAACTTCACTCATGTTGCTGCATAAGGCATGAATTTATCTTTTTGTATATACACACCACATGGTTATGATCCACTCATAATTTCAGATGGTTGTCACTAGTATGTGGCATATAAAGTAACTAAATTAATAGTCAGATAAGGACAAGCTGAAAAACTAACCCTTGATAGCTGACTACAGAACTAAGACACCGAGGTGGGAGGGGAGAAATGGGAGAGAGAAGAACAGGGAGGGAGGGAGGGAGGCCCAATGGTCTGTGCCGGTAGAGCATGGGGGAGTTGGGGGTGCACTATGGTGTAATACCTGATGGGGATAAACCAGTGTTACCGCAATTAAAAATCAACAATTTTTAAGAATTCCATTTAAATCAGCATCAAAAACACAAGATACCTAAAAAAAGAGTACAACACAGCTATGTGAAAGAACTAGATCCTATGACTTACAAAACACTGCTGTGAGAAATTAAAAGGAACCCTCAGGAAGTGGGGAGATGTGACATGCTTATCAGAATGGAGGCTATTACTAAGATAACAATTTTTCCCAATTCATCTCTAAATTCAATGAGATCCAAGTAAAAATCCCAGCAACCTTTTATGTTTACAGAAAGACTAATTCTAGAATGGCAGAAGACTTTGGGCAAAACTAATTTTTTTTAAAATATTTATTTATTTATTTATTTATTTATTTATTTATTTATTTATTTATTTATACAAGCACTGGGTACAGACAGAAGTGCGGGAGAGCGAGAGAATTCACCAGAGCGGAAAGCAGAGCAGGCAGAAGGACCGAAGTACACTGCTGAGGGGAGCAGCGGGCGGCAGGAGAGGTCTGCGCGCCATGTGGGACCCTCCTCTGGTGGCCAGGAGCAGCCGGGGATTGAACCGGCGCCACAGAGGCTGCAGGCAGCTTTGCAACCCAGCTCTCAACCGCTGCGCCACCGGGGAGGCCCTGGGCAAAATTAATTTTAAAAAGCACATAAACTAGAGAATTACCTGATTTCAAAAGATAATGTAAGTTACAGTAATCAACATGTCATATTGGCATTAAAGATAGGCAGACAGATTAAAAGAATAGGCATGAATCCAGAAAAAGACTCAATATCTATTAATTATGTCAACTAATATGATCAAAAGTACCAAATTACTCATTAGGAAAAGAGAACCTTTTCAACAAAGATGCTGGATCAACTAGAAAGTCCTATTGTAAATAAAAAAATGAAGCACAATTCTTACTTCACATAATAAACAAAAAGTAACTCACAACAGATCACAGACTGAAAAGACAAAACTAAATCTAAAATGTGCCTACACTAAGACTTAAACAAAAAGTGATCATGGCAACTCTATTCCTAAGAGCCCAAAACTAGAACAAATGTTAACCAATATTTAATCAGTGTGAATGAAACAAATCATGGTATATTTATTTAATGGACTATTAAGAAGAAAAGTCACCTTTGTGCACAATCTACATAGCTGAATTTCAAAAACCTGGGGAGCAAAGGCCCAGAAACAAAATATCACATACCCAACGACACCGCTTGATTGAAATTTGAGACAAGACCCATCTAATCTCTAACAACTAAATACAGAGCAGTGGCTGTCTGGGTGCAAGGAATGGGGTGGACGGACTGGAGAAAAGCACAAGAAAACTGTTTTGAAATTATGGACATATTCACGTCTTAGTCGCAGTTGCTGTGACACAAGTCTGTACATCTGTCAAAACTCATTAAGCTGTACTCTTAAAACAGGTACACTGTATTATATATTAAGTGTTTCAGTAAAGTTGAACTTTATAAAATCAAATAGGCTGCCATATCTTCCCCACTGGCAATTTCCACTCTCATGAGGGAATTACTTATATTCTTTCAAGTGTTTCGTCTTTTTACTACTGTATTTCAAAATATATACTACCGTTTCTTGATTTTTTAGAAGATATTTTAAAAATATGCATTACATTCTCCTGGAGTTGAGATAATTTAGTTCTCACACCACTATCAACTCATCATCACTTATACTTCCCCACACATACTCTCTGGCTCACATCCTCCTAATATAATTAACAACATATTTTTCTTATAATTATTACATTATTTTGTTCAACTTTTGTTTTCTCTGCTATTAATTGCTGGTATGGGGTTTGGATTTCTGTTTGCTTAGTTTTTATTATTGTTTTTAGTTTTTTTAAGATTTATTTTTATTTATTTATGCATACGAGAACTGGGGTGTAGGCCAGAGGGGCAGGGGGTGAAAGCATTCACCAGATACAGTGCGGGGCACAGAACAGGCAGACTGACGAAATACACTGCTAAGGGAGCAGCGGGTGAGACAGGCGAGGTCTGCTGCACCATGTGAGTAGCTCCCTATCCAGGAATTGAACTGATGCCACAGTGGCTGGAGATGACTTGATAGCACTAAGACTTTAACCCCTGTGCCACAAGGGAGACCCTATTTGCTTAGTTCTTAATGTAAAAAGTACTCGAGTTTCAAAACTAATCTTAATACAATCAAACGCATCAGATAAACTATCAGTCCCATCTTGGACTCTGAGGTGTGCTTCCTGAGGCTCTCTGCCCTCCTGCTGTAACCTGGCCCTCTGTACTTTCAGCCTGAAGCACAGCCAAGATGCAGATTTCTTACTTACATCCCTGAAGATGCCTTTCCGCTCACTCTCCAGCAACAGGTTCCATGTTTCCAAAACTGTTTCTTCCCTATTTTTTGTGCTGAAATATATTCTCCAGCAGAAAGCTTAGAAAATGTCTAATAAGATCTATACCCTCAGATTTGACAGACAATTTGATCTGAAATAGTATTTCTAAGCCTTTGCTCCATACTTTTCTAGTTTCCAATATTATTGTTGAAGAATCTGCTATATTTGAACCCATTATATACAATGCCAGTCTTTTTCACAGAATCATTTTACTTCCTTCATAGCCCTTATACATTTAGGATCTCTTCTTTAATCTCTATTTTTCTAACATTTCAGTAGGGTCTTTTTCTGTTTATTGCATTGGGTGCCTAGCAAGTCCTTTCCATCTGAAAACTCACATCTTTTAGTTTTAGCTGATTTTCCTCAATTATTCTTTGACTTCTTCCCCTCCATTTTCCCTGTTCTCTTTCTAAAGCACCTAACTAATCACGTTAGACATTCTGAATTGATCTTACCATTTTTCTCATTTTCTCAATCTTTTTGTCCTACTTAGAGATCTGCTCAATTTTACCTTTTAATTCTTCTATTCAGTTTTTAACTTCTATCATATTTTTAATTTCCAAGAGTTATTTCTCATACTGTATTTGTTCCTTTTTGGAACATACTATTCTCATTCCATGAATTGAATTTTTGTCACTCCAAGGATGTTAATTCTTTCTTGATGTATTTTTCCTGCTCCCTGTATTGTTTCTGTATCCTTTGTTCCCCATTTCATTCTATTAGCTGAGAAATTTTCTGAAATGTCTGGTGATCTATTGTTTGCTTTTCACTTAAGAATGAAGCACTTACCAGACAAAGGCTGCCCATGAACGATCAAGACTCGCTACCTGAGCTACCTCCTAACAGGAGTTACCCATGGTTGGCTCAGCAGGTCTAGGTTGTCCCAACCCTCCACATCCCAAGGAAAGGTTTGGCCAATGCCAAGTTCCTCAAAAATAACCTCTAAACCTTCATCATTCCAACTGTTAAGATTATCTTTGTTTACCCAAAGTTTTAGACCATTTCAGGTATCTTTTGCTAGCAATATAACAATATGGGCGAAGGGAAGGGGGCAGGGGATGCCCAGACCATGTGATAGGAGTCTGAACTCTGGGGTAGTTGGGTAACTAAGGTTAGCCAAGTCTATATAACGAGCTCCCATAAAAACCTAGGCTATCAAGGCTCAGATAAACTTCCCTGCTTAGCAATAATTCTCCCACATTTGCCACATATTACCATTGAGTGAAATAAGCATTGTTCATATAACCTCACCGAAGAGAACAACTGGAAGGAAGCTTGTTCCCGGTCTCTCCTGGGTTCTGTCCTATGTGCCTTTTCTATTACTGATTTTAATCTTCTATTTTTGCTATAATAAACCACAACCAGGAAACAATAGCTTCTCTGGGTTCTGTGAGTGCTTCTACCAGGTATCTGAACTGTGGGTGGTCCTCGGGTCCCCTAAACATTTACATGATGTTATCTTTCTGAATTATGTACATTTCAATAAATTCTAGTGCCATCTTAAAAAAACAGGCCAAGCATCTGAAGAAAACTCTATTAATCCCCAACATTGTCCAAATAAAATGCCTCAAACAGCCTGAACATAAAACACAGACTCCGTAAAACATAGACTCTATTTTGATTTCATCAAGGTCACGGTCTTGCAATGATTCATAAGAACAAGCTTAAAATATCTTCTAAATTGTCCATATTCATAACTAGAATATATCAAAATAGACATGACTATCTGAAGCAAGCTTACTGTCTTTCTCATGAGAAACGCGCCCTCTGAAGTACCGCCAATGCCATTACAGTGACAAATCTTAACCTTCACAGGCAGCTGCAACTGCAATCTTCACCCAGAATTGGCGGGAATTCTAATTAACTACGCTTAACTGAAATATTCTCTAGATGCTTCTACCCTCTGGCATTCTCTTTCTCTCGAAGCAATTCCTAGAATAACAAACTGGAAGACATCTGCAACTCAACAAATATTAAAAAAACTCTGAGATCAAGCTTTCCACTCTTTAATCCATTCACACTCTTTGGAACGAAGGTGTTCTTAATCTGCACGATGGCGGAGCGATGGCTAAGCGATGGCTGAGCGATGGCTGAGAGGGTATCATGTCATGATCCTTAAAAGGTGGCAGATATAATGCTAAGTTTTCAGAAGCAAGTTTATGAGATTAATATAATATCTAGCAGAGCCCCTTGTAACTAAGCACTGAAGAAAATTTCTTATTCAATGATAAATTATTTACGGCTCTATTCTACATTATTTATAAAACATTGAATATCAAAAGGTCTCTGGTCACATGGTGAGTAGTGCAACCACCCAAACACTACCATAAATTTTAAGGGTCTAATAATTATACTATAATCAAAATTAAGAAAAAGAGTTCTAGCTCTTACTGACAACTTGGAAAACGAACTACAACTATAACCCAAAACAAACAAGATCAAAGTATGACAGCATTGGTATATTTCTCTGTGTGTGTGTATGTGTGTGTAATTGATATTACCTGTGTGTGTATGTGTAACTGATGTGTATACACACCCAAATACATATCCATATTACAGTCTGCAGCGTATTTATTACCTCTTTAATTTTTTCCCTTTTCTTTCTTATGTCGTTATCTTCTGGGTCCCCACCATTTATTCCTATGAGGTTTGGTACAGGGACTGGAGGCAGTGGCTTTTTCTCTTTAGTCTTCATTTCTTGGAGTACCTTACTTTTCTCTGTCTGAATTTCTGCTCGGATTTCCTCTCTCGACTTCTTTAATTTTTCTTTTGCTTCTTCCAAGGCCTTCTCATGATCAGCTCGAATTTTATTTCTCAAACGCTCTTCTTCATCCCTGTAAGAGGAGGAAAAAAAAAAAAAAACTAGTAAGAATGATCCTTAGAAACTTCAATCTTCTAACCTAAAATTCAAGTTTACTCCCTAAAGCCCTGAAAGTAATTTTGTATTCCTGACATTTAAAGGCATGAATGCTCTGTGAGAGCACCTCACAGCTATCTTCCTAGAGAACAGGCTAAATACAACGCCATGAGAGAAAAATGAGCTCTGGATGCTGAAGAACTGACTTTATACCATAAGAAAGACGGAGCTTAGAAAGCAAGTTATAATTTCAGAGCCAAATGAGAACAGAGGAAACAGTAATCAGTAATTTATGACTGAACAAATTAACAAAAGAGACAAGTGGAAAACTAGTTAGGGAAAAAAGTTAAAAATAAAATTAAGTATCAGAGACGGGACAAAAATAGACACATAGGGGCAATGAGAAATTAGTGGAAAAGATGAGAGGATGGAAAATTTTTCATTTGTTACACAATACATCATAGTCTTTTGAAACTTAAAGTTTTGGAAATGCCATAGGTACAATGGTTCTGTGTTCATGACTACTTAAAACTCTCCAGCTCTTGTAAAAAAAAAAAAAATGTACATTTCAATTTAGTAGGTCTGTATGCAACCTATAAATTTGTATTACTACAAACTCCCCAGATGACTGTTGTGTACACACAAGTTCAGAAATCACTAATGCAGTGTACACATTCTGGGTTTTCCACTCAGCCCTAATTTTGTGAGAGTTCAATGTTCTCTCTACTTCCACCCAACTTCACAAAAATGAGTACATATGTGGTCATTTATTTTCCACATCAGCCCATAATGACCACTGCAAGGGTGAACATCTAACCCAATAGTGACCAGAGTTACCTCTCCAGAATTTTAAATCAAACTCTTTAGATAGCTGGACTTAGAACATGTTGGTGGGAATGTAAAATGGCACAATCACTCTGGAAGTTTAGTCATTTCTTAAAAATCTAAACATGAAACTATAATAGAATCCAGCAAGTGCACTTACCCAACAAACTGCATTTATCCCAAAGAAAATACTGCTTATCTTCACACAAAAACCCTTACACCAGCCTGCACAGACAAATACATTAGGATTCCACTTATAGGATATATTTAGAGCAGTTGAAATCACAGTGAGGAATTAGAATTGTGTTTTTCAAGGGCTGGAGGAAAAGGGGACGTGAGAAGTTACTATTTAATGGGTATAAACTTTCACTTTTGCAAGATCAACAGAATTCTAGAGATGTGTGTGGTGAGGGCTGCAAAACATGCAGGTACTTAATGCCCCTATACTGGACACCTAAACACGTTAAAATAATAAATTGTATGTTACAAATATCTTGCTACAATAAAAAAAAAATTGGAAAATAAAACCCTGTTTACAGATGTTTAAAAAAACTGGAAACAATCCAGACGTCCTTCAACAAATAAGTGATAAAACCACTGTTTATGCTGTGGTAAAGACATATGCAACATTATTCACTAATAAAAAAAAAACAATATACACAACTTGAGTGAATTTCAAGGGTATTACTATGTGAGTGAAAGAAGTCAGTCTCAAAAGGTTTTATTCTACATGATTCCTTTGACATGATATTCTCGAAAAGACAAAAATAAAGGGAGCATGATGAATAGATGAGCCAGGAGTGATGGATAGGAGAGGTTAACTTAAGGGAATAACACAAGAGTATTTAGAATAACAGCATTGTTATGTAACCTACTTTTAGTGACGGTTACACAATTACATGCATGTGTTAAAAATTATAGAACTTTAAGCCAAACAAGAAAAATATCAATGTAAAGTTTAATATCAAAAATAAAATGTCAGGGCCTCCCCAGTGGCGCAGTGGGTTGAGCACCGCGCCGTGAAGCTGTCCGCAGCCTCTGCAGCGCAGGTTCATTCCAGGTCGGCCAGGGAGGAACCCACATGGCGCGGCAGACCTCTCCTGTCTCACCCGCTGCTCCCCTCAGCAGTGTCTTGGTCCCTCTATCTGACTGTTCTGCTCCCAGCTGTGTCTCTGGTGAATTCTCTCACCCTCCCACACCTCTGACCTATACCCCAGTTCTTGTATAAATAAACATATCTTTAAAAAAATAAAATGTCAACTGTTTAAAAAAAACTGAGTTGCGAGAAGGGATTGATGAGAAACAGGAGACAGAAGAGTGGGGAGAGAAGCCAGGGACTTGGGAACACACAAGGTCACTGAGGTGGGGGCGGGGAGCTCATGGGGCCTGCAAAGGCTGAGTGTGGGAGGAATATGGCAGGGGTTGGGGGGGTGGGGAGGAGGCAGCCAGGGAGATGCAGGCAGGTTAGGGCATCCTCTCCGTACACAGGTGCTAAGTGAAGTCTCAGATAAGATAAGGAGGTAGACAAAGCACAACAGCCTTCCAAAGACACTTCACCTCCTGACCAGAGGAAAACCTTGTACCTAGATTCAGAAGGAGATCATAGCCTATGACAATTACATAAGGATATGTAAAAAATACACTAAAATCTAGTTTAGTAAATAAAGACTGAGGCAGATATACAAGGAGTTCCCCTTTATATTTACTCTCTTCCTCTTCACTAGTTTTAGTCTTCACCTACAAACATGAAGTTCTTCAAAAAATAAAAACTCCTCCTAACTTCACCTTCAACCTTCATTGATAAAAGCCCTGTTCTTCCTTTCACCAGCGGACTCTCTCAGAGTACTGCTACTTCCACTTTCCTTAACCTCACGTCTCTGCTGTCCTCCACGTGAAAAACTGATGACTGAGTTGCTTTGAAATTCTCTCTTCCTCACACCTGTCTTTCCAACAAGCCTCTGATCAGCAGCTTTATCATCATCAATGCATCTCAAAAATGTTGTATTCCCACCTTATTTCCATTCTTGTTTTATAATACTTTTCCTATTCAACATCATCCAAATATATTTCCTCAACAATTATATCAAAATTCATAGTTCAGCCTTTGCCAGGTTACTAACACCATCTAAAACTTTTCATTGACTGCCAAACACTTCCAATTTAAATATCCAAGAGAAAACTGAACGATTACTACAGAAAAAAGACAATCACGGGCTAAGCTCATTCATGAGCACACTCTTTTTTACTGATGTATTAGCAATGTTACTCACCAATATTAAAAATAGAAAGAAAATTCATCATAACTGTACTTATTCCAGAAATGAGAATAGTTCAACATCAGAAAATTCTATCCACATTCATTTACCTATTACTAAGGAAAAATTGTATAAATCATTCAGCAGAAACAGATAAAGAAGCATTCCCTTCAAAATGAAGGAAACATTCAAGGACACTCACTATTCAAGTGTTTATGTGATTGCACTGAATGTCCTAGCCAGCAAAGTAAAATAAGAAGATAAAAATGAGATTAAAGTATAAGAAAAACAAAGTTAAAAAAGTTGCCTGACACAAGTAATATTTCTGCATAGAAAACCCAAAGGACCTACAAAATATTACAAATAGGAGTGAACAAGGAAGAGGAAAAAACTGACATACAGCAAACACTCATAAAATAATTTCCTCCTCTTCCTATTCATTGGGCCCCATCCTTCTATACTCCATGCATTCAAATTCCTGTTGATACATTTATTCCTCCAAATGGTAATACCATTGTTTACAATGGCTTTCATTCACATGCATTATTTTAATACTGAAATTTCTAGGCCCTATACTTCTGATTTAAGAAATCTGGGTGCCCTTAAAAAGACTCTGACAGAAATATATTTTCAACCATTATAAGTGAATTTTACTAAACTGATTCTTACTAATCTCCAAATTCTAAGAGTACCTCACCAAGCCCCTATGTAGACTAATGTTATCTTTTAAAAGATAAATGATGACATATATACAATGGTCTTTAATAACCAAAAAAAAAGTGAATAACCTCTTCAAACATCCTATGTTTTAACAGCACTATAAAGAAATTCCAGAGGATCCAGGAAAGCACAACGAAAATAGTTGAAGCAGCTATGTGAACAGCTATTTGTGCACAATTATAGGCCAAGGATGATTTCAGGAATACCTCAGAATAGTTAGTAAATAATAAATACTGAAATAACAGTATTCAATAAAACTGGCAAAAGCCTAAAGGAATTTGTAGGGTAAGGAAAAATGCCAAGTTTTTCTGCCCTCCCGCCATCAGGATAGATGATGGATCCTTGCGGTCCTGAATGCATGCCTGATGGCGGGCACCTGGAATAGGGCGTGGGCAGAGGTAGATGGGATTCACCTGGGCTGAGACGGGGCTTTTAAGGGCGGCGTCACGGGGAAGCCAGCTGAAAGAGAAGCCGAAAAGAGCAGAAGAAGCCAAGAGTGAAGCAGAGAAGGCCGGAGAGCCCAGATAGAGTGAAGACTTGCTGGGGGCTGGGAGGCCTGCCAGCCTCCCGGCCCCCCAGCACCCCTGCCTGCCGTGTACTGGGTAAATCCCAATAAAAGACCTGCAAAAAACCACTGAGGACTCTGACTCCTCCTTTACCCGGTCTGCTGGATCAGAAAACTTGCACTGTGGCCGTTCCTGACCAAACAGAACTTAAGACCTTCCAAAGAGAAGTATCACTCCTTCATAAAGGAAGAGCTTTTCAAACTCAGAAGTGACTAAGAGGTGAAACGAAGTCAACTATTATTTGGGATTTTTTTGTTTTATTTTTTCACAAATACAATCTAAGATGTTTCCAAATAGCAAGTGAATACATTGTATCTGTACAGAATATCACCCTCATGTAAACTGCAAAGAATTTTCTGAAAATTATCATTCAAGCTAAGGCATGTACTTTCCAATGTACTGACTTGTGGGTAAGAACCAAACAGCATATTTGAGTTCTCAATTTGGGCTTCCTATTCCATAAGAGTGAAACCCATCGTAATGTTAATAGAAAAGCCCAATTATTTCACAGTACAAGTAAATAGTGAGCCACCTGAAAGTGAAGCATGGAGAAACCCTCAAGCTTCTACACCAAATCTAATTTGGTCACTTTGCTCACATAGAACATCTTT